TTTAATGTTTACAAGCTGACACATTCTAGTCAGAATGTTCACGTGCATGACGTTCGCTCGTACGTTGACATTCGCGCCGTGCAGGATCACAGTCCAGGATCGAACGAATAATATTTGACGTTCGGCAATCTCGTGTCTACGTTTCTGGTTGTATGACGTACAACCAATGATAGGCAAAAGACAGTTTAGTTTAGAGAGTCAGCGATACGTATAATGTCATAGCACAACTGAGTTGTATTTGATAAGAGAGCGACAAGCAGATGCGATGCGATGTATGTGTACAAAAGTATTCAATTTAAAATTTAGATACTTGGAGACAATTTAAATTTATTGATCATGAATGATAAAGTCAGTATGTAAGTGGTCTATCTGATGATCTTTCAATTAAATTCAAAGAGACAACCCTTTGCGGTCGTATGTCTGCTCTCAGCCACTACAGCAAGGAATTGTAATTCTAATTCACAGGATTCTAATCTTATACTGTATTCATCCATGTATCAATTTGCACTTTCTCTGAACGAACCTGAATGTGTAAGAATCTATTCACGAACCAATACGGTGCTCCTATCAATTGGAGATAACGAAAGCTAAGTCTAAACAAAAGCTGTCACCCCTCACTCGCCATGCAAGACGCTGTGGCGAGTCGGTTCGAAGGTTCGAAGATACTTTCGTAGAATTCCAAATAATATTTTACAAATTGTGTTTAATAAATCTTGTTTATCCTTCGTAATCTTGCATGTTATGTATCATTGCTCTTTCAACGGAAATTAATTCCGACCAGTACGACAACCATGTCCAAATTTCATACGACCGCAAAGGGTTAAAAGTCAAAAATATAATTAAATGAAACTTAATTAAATATTCAAATAGTAGGGATCGTAATGTACATATACGCTTTACCGGAAGAATATACTATTAGATAAATGTAAACATTGATTCCTGTCTATGTAAATATCTTTTTTTCTTTTCTTTTACGTGGAGGAAATCTTCATAAGACACCTGAGTCTTTTAAGGGAAGATCCAGGTGGTGTCGGATTTTTACCGACTAAAATCTCCACGATGGCCGTCCTCTGCACATTAGGAGAG